TGAGATTTTTAAATTAAATTTTATAAAAATAAATATTAGCTAATTTTTAAATATTTAATAATTTTAAAAATTAATATTAGATAATATTTAATAATTTTAAAAATATTTTTGAATATTCAATAATTAAAAATATGAAGAGATAAGAGATAAAATAAAATATATAAGTTAAATAAGAAGAAAAAAATATGAGAAATTTCAAATTCTTACTTTTTTGGGAGAATTTGAAATTCTACTATTTAAAGAAATTTCACAAATGCTTGAATTTTAAATTCCTTATAAATTCTCCATCCAAACAAGGTATTTCACCTCAAAGAATTTAAAATTCTTCAAATAAATGAATTATTCCATTTAAATTCTCCATCCAAACATAATATTAGGAAACTCAAATTACTCAAATTGTGTAATTGTGAGAAAATAGAAGAGGTGATATATAGTAGTGATAATGAAAATGTCAATTTCCCCACAATGGTGTCTTATACTTAAAGATCTTCTAAAGTTGGTCAATTTTTATCGACAAAATGCAACTTTCTATTGGCCTAACTTACAAACAGTGAGGGTGAACAATATTTCAAGTATGAAAACATTTTTAATAGGTAATATCAACACATGGTTGAGATCAACTTATATAACATTTGATAAGAAAATTTGGCTTTTGAACAATACCATATCATATATACATGATAATTCAAGTATGTAAATTTTAATATTATATGTATGTAGACATTAAAAATTTATAATATAACAGTGTTACATCATGTTTATATCATATATCATTTGTTTTTTGAGTTATTTGTTTTTGTGAAAACATATTTAATTTAAATTGTTAGATACAAGAGTTTTCTTTTGATATTATAATTTAAAACACTTTTTTATTATGCTCCTTATTTTGTTTGTTAAGTTATTTTCGAGGAAAAGAATATTACGTACTAACATATTGTAAAAGTTATCAACAATAATTTTTTATTGGATGATAGTGTAATTTAATGTATTGACATATTGTTAGTACTATTTCTAGTTAATAATACATTATCTACTGCACTCTTCAAAATATACTCTAGACAATTAACTAGTCAATATTTATTAAGAAAAACATAGATTTTGTGTATCTTACTAATTTCTTGTTTAATAAATTACTTTATCCTTATTTTGCATATATTTTTTTAATAAATATTTGTAACGTGTTTAAAATGGTTTTACTAACACTTCTCAAATATAGATCATTATGGATAAAATAATATAAAAAATATATATAAGTCAGTAGATCATATTTAAGAGAAAATTGAACTTGACTTTTTAAGTGGTTATGTGAGCCACTAACTAATAATTTATATGTTTGACAATCAATGTATCAAAAATTATGTTTTACATTTTTCACAATAAGAGTAGTTTTTCACTTAATAAGTCTTATATAAATGAATGCACTTATTTGAAAACGAAAACTATAAGAACATTCTTCTCATTTAATACATCAGATATTTAATCATTAAGAAAAAGTATGTTATAAAAAAACAAAAAAAAAACATGAGAGATACAACCATATGAAGAAAGAGCTAACTATGAATAATGGTGTAATTAAAAACTAAAAAGGAAAATATGCATGATAGCATTGGTTCTACATTATTCATTTTTTGTTAAGTTTAATTTTGATTCACTTTGCACATGATTTGTTAAGGTTGTATGGTAATATTTTTATCCAGTAAACTATATTAATATTTTAAATTAATGAACTATACTACTTATGAGAATAATTACAATTTCTCTTCAAAATGAAACAATTACACTTATTCTTGGAACCAAAAAATGTTTGTAAATTATTGAATTGACATATATATATTTGGTTCATCTTTTAATCTTTTTAGGAACGAAGCTACGAGGAGGCATATGAAAGATACGAAAAGATTATTTATTTAATGTAAGAAATAAGAGAGAATGCTTGCAAGTTCAAAGTCATATGAATCAGTTTATAAACATATATCTTGCATGTTTTTAGATGTAATTTGTCATATTTATGCAAATATTTTTTAATATATAAAATAGTGAAGATTGTGATTGCATTTGTAACACAAAATTTATCAACAAAAGAACATATGTATTCTTACATATCTTAAATATTTTATAGTAAATAATTTTATTTATAAATTAAGAGTGTTATTTCATATTTTTTTTTAAAAAAATATAATCACAATATTATTAAGTTTGTGTTGATCTATCATTTGATTTATTTTACTTTTAAAATTAACAAATTAAATAATATTTATTAAAAAATATTGTCATGCATTGAAATTTTTTACACAAATAATACTATTTTAATTTTTTTTACCTAAATAGTAACTGTGCAAATTTATTTCCCCAACTAGCACCATTTACTGTTCACGTTAGGAACAGACCTTTCTGAAATTAGAACGGGCCGTTCCGGATTAAAAAATAGGGTGATGATAAATACACCTCCATTTTCATATAAACACACCCTCTTTTTTTAAAAAAAAATATATAAAATCTTTAAATTACCATTTTTTTTAAAATATATATAATTCTTAAATTTGCACCCTGTACTCCTCTTTCCCGCACCTCTCTTCTTTCTCTACCCCGCACCCCTCTTCTTCTTTGTTTTTCGGCACCCCGCACCCCTCTACTTTCTCTTCCCCGCACCCTTCTTCTTTCTTTTTCCCGCAACCGCATCCCTCTTCTTTCTCTTTCTCACATCCCTCTTCTTCTTTCTTTTTCCCGCACCCCGCACCCCTGTTCTTTCTCTTCCTCGCACTTCTTCTTTCTTTTTCCCGCACCCCCTTTCTTTTTTCTTTTTCCCACACCCCCCTTTCTGGAATAGTAAAGTTTTTGTTCTGAAAATTACTTTCCGAAATAATAAAGTTTTTATTCCAGAAAATACTTTCCATAATAGTAAATTCTTATTCTGAAAAGTTTTTTCCGGAAAAGTTTTGTTACATAATTCCGGAAAGTACTTCCAAAATACTAAAGTTACTGTTTCGAAAAGTTCTTTCCGGAATTATATAAGAAACACAGTTCCGGAAAATTTCTGGAAAGTTCTTTTCGGAATTATATAAGAAACACACTTCCAAAAAATACTTTCTGGAACAATAATTTTACTATTCCGGAAAGTACTTTCCGGAATACTAAAATTAAATTTCGAATCTTATTTTTTGGTATGACAAATTTAATTTATGTGTTTCTTTATCTCCTCATCCACCACTGTCGTCTATAATCCTGTTGTCCATAAGTAATGTTAAATAAGTTAAAAAAAATTATAAATATAAAATATAATTTAATATATTAATTTGTACCTTATATTGAATGTAGAGAATAATGAAGATTGAATGAAAAATTAGGGTTTAAGAAAGAATAGAGTAGAAAGTGAAAAATAGAATTCAAAAGATAGAAAGATAAAATATGTTTATGTTGATTGTAAAAAAAAGAAAAATCAAGAATGAAAAACGAAAAAGAATAAAATCATCAAAGAATGACTAGAGTGATGAAAAAGGAGAATGAACAAAAGAAGAAGAAAGAAAAAGAAGAATGATGAAAAAAGGGGTCAATAAAAAAACAAATTTAAAAATAGAACTTAAAATTAAAATTTAGTTAGAAGGATATTTTAGGAATTTTATTTTAAAAAAAGAGATTGGAGGTGTACTTATAAAAGATAGGAGGTGTATATATCATCGGCCTAAAAAATAACACATGGCAAACGGATCAGAACGGACTGTTCCAAAATCAAAATTAGCACATAAAAATTGAAACCAGAACACACCGTTCTGCATCCAGAATAGGCCGTTCTGGCCTATAAATAAATTTTTTTTTTGTTTGATTTTCACTTATCAAATACCAAAACTCAGAGACTACCTTCAAGTGATAAAATTTATTGAATATTAACATTATAAATATAACTAAATAAATTTATTAAAATTCATTATACAACAATAAAGATCAATGGTGATGGAAACTAAATTCATGACCAATATTTGGATATGTCTTCCTAGTATGACTAGGGGTGTGACAATAGGAACAATTTTTTACATGATTATATTGTTCTCTAATGTCCATCTTTGTTCTAATCTTGCTAGACTTTGGCCGACCCTTGAAAGTTCTCTTGAGTTCTCTGGATTTGGCCACAAAGTTGAAAGAAACACAACATCCGAGAGAAGTTTGACCCGCTGAGAGATTTAATGTGGTATAATTGCGGCAAGTTCTAGAAAGGTATACGTAGGACAGTTTGGAGAGCTCCGACATGAAGATTATTAGCCTATTTACACTGGTCCAACTTTGTGGCCAAATCCAGAAATTAAGCGAACTTTCATGGGTCGACCAAAGTCCAACAGGATTAAAACAGAGATGGACATTAGAGAACAACATAATCAGTTTCTGCCATCATTGATCTTTATTGTTGTATTGAATTTTAATAAATTTATTTAGATATATTTATAATGTTAATATTCAATAAATTTAATTATTTGATGTTAGTTTTTGAGTTTTGATATTTGATAAGTAAAAATTGAACAAAAATTTTTTATTTATAGGCCAAAACGTTTTGTTCTGGATGCAGAACGGCCAGTTCTAGTTCCACTTTTATGTGCTAATTTTGATTTTGGAACGACTGATCTTTTTGCCATGTGTTATTTTTTAATCCGGAACGGCCCGTTCTGATTTCAGAACGGTCCGTTTCGAACGTGATCAGTAAATGTAACTAGTTGAAAAAATAAATTTGCACAATTACTATTTAGGTAAAAAAAATTTTTAAAATAAATTATTTGAGTAAAAAACTTTGATATTATAACATGTTATATTAATATTTTATTATGTTATATAATTACATAAACAATATACAACAAAAAAATATTCTCTTCATTTACTATCTATAAATACTATAGATAAAGACAGATTTAATGGACCCATGCACGTTCAAGTTACTACTACACTAGTTCTTTTTAATAGAAACTGTAACTGCATTGTAGGGAAGTACATGATTAAAGTGAGTAGACTCACCCACACACGATCACGCCCCTTAAACCCTGAAAGCTAAAACCCTTCACTTTGCATTCTCTGAAGAAAACTCCCATTTTCTTCACCAATCTCCACAACATGACCACTCTCATTCTCCGGAGATCCTCTTCCCTACTCTCGCGCCGCTTCTTCGCCGCTCTCGCCTCCGTCCAGCCGCTCCCGCACCACCGCCACGGTGTCTCCGGCGACGGAGTTAGGTCATTTCACGCCAGATCCCTACCGTTCAGTTTCCGCTCGTCGCCGGTCTCTCGCGCGCCGCAGTTCGCCCTAGAGCGCGATTACTCTAACGATGATGAAGCTTTAGGCGCCAACGGCGACGAAGGACTCGAGATCGCGAAGCTCGGGATCTCTCCGGAGATCGTGGATGCTCTGGCTAAGAGAGGAATCGCGAAGCTCTTTCCCATTCAGGTAACGTCTCTTCGTTGTGGCGTTTAGTTTTCGTTGGAAGTGGTGGCTTTTATTTTTTCTAGTTTTTTTTTTATATTTTTTATTATTATTTTTTTTTTTGCTTTGTTAATTGATGTTGCGAGATTCGTGTTTTGTTTGATTTTGAATGTGAATTTTTAAAGGGAAATGATAATTCATAAGTGTCGTGTGAAACCGGTGGTTGGAAAATTTTACGAAATCAGATTACTATTATTGTTGTAAGGATGTTTTCAAATTTAAATAAGTTAAAAATAAAAATATTTGAAAACGGAGTATCGTTGTTACTTAATAACTAGCGTAAAGAAGTTACTTTGTGACTCCATATATTTTTTTAAATAAAATAAATGAGAAAAATAATTGAGGTTAAATATATGTGAGGATTTAAAAGAGGGTGTAAAACGTTTTAAGTAGTTATTGAGGTGTGAGAATTTTGATAAATAACTTTACGGAGAAGTAGAGAAAAAAGGAGAATACAAACTAAATAAAAAAAAAAAAAAAGTTTGGGATAGAAAGTGTTTTAGAAGTTAAGTGGCTAAGTGGTCAACAGAATGTGTACACCAAAATGATGTATCACCTTTATTAATAGTATATAAGTTTAGATGACATAATAATGAATTTAAGTATCATGAAAAGAGAAAAAAAAATAACAGTAAGTGTTTTTATTATTAATTGTTAATATTAGATTAGAAGAATAATTAGAGAGATAAGGCTTTTGATATTGAGGAGGAAATTATGAAATAGATTATTTAAATTAAGATATCATTTCTGTATGTATTAATATGATAATACACCAATACACCAATAGAAACATCTATAAATTTGATTTAACATATGAAAATTCAAATTTAGAAAGAAACATATATCTTTCATTTGATATGGTATGCCAAGGTTTAAAATATGGAATCAAATTTAACTTGGGTTTAACTAAATTTAACCAATAGTATTTGACTTATGGGGAAGGAATATAAGTATATATAACTATTTTAAATGCTCTCATTTTAGAACAAACGCCCATATATATTACAACAACAATATTGTTATCAACTTATTTTCATCATCATCAGCAGCATCATCATCATCATACATCTGTGATGAAATGATTTGACTTACATTCAGGTAATTTGTTTTTGCTCAATTGTTTGAAATAGTTTGGTTGAAAAGGAAGTCGAATGTTTGTGTTTGTAGAAATTTTGTAAAAATTTGAAAAACAATTCTCACTATATTTTGTGCTTGGGCTACTCTTTCTTAGTAGTAGTGGTAAACAGCTGTGCTGAAATGAGTTGATTTACGTCCAGATAAATATTTTACTTATCTTTTGGTTGAAGAAAGCAAATGTGTATGTTGATTATGTTCATAGAAATTTCATGAAAGCCACTTGTTGCTGTATATTGGGCTTGAGCTACTTCATTATAAGTTATTGTTGTTATTATAAAGCTGTGGTGGAATGAGTTGATTTAAGTTTGGATGTATATTTTTTATTTTCAAATATTTGTTTAGATATTTTGGGGTTGAAAAAGAAAGCAAAGGCCTGTCTTCACGTAAATTTCAGGAAAACTAATTCATGCCATATAAAACTGCTGTTTGGAAAATATATTATCTTCGAGCTTGAGATTCTCAGTTATTGATGCTCTCACTGTAGAGAGCTGTGCTGGAACCAGCTATGCAAGGACGTGATATGATTGGTCGAGCTAGAACTGGAACTGGGAAAACTCTTGCTTTTGGGATACCCATCTTGGACAGGATCATTAAGTTTAATGCTAAGCATGAGTACTTTATATTAGTTACACTACATCTTACTTTTTCTTGAATCTGTAGCCTTGTTTTTCTCCTTGAAGGTGGATTAGGTAACTGGTGGATATAATATTGTTGTGTCTTTAACTAAACAAATTTTGGTGGTTGATTATCACAGGCGAGGAAGGGATCCTTTGGCTTTGGTTTTGGCTCCAACTAGAGAACTTGCACGGCAGGTTGAGAAGGAGTTCATTGAGACTGCACCTAACTTGGACACAATCTGTCTTTATGGGGGTATGCCTATCCAGCAACAAATGAGGCAACTTAATTATGGTGTAGATATTGCAGTAGGCACACCTGGTCGAATTATTGATCTTCTCAACAGGGGTGCACTGAATTTGAACAGTGTTCAGTTTGTTGTTCTTGATGAAGCTGATCAGATGCTTCAAGTAGGATTTCAAGAAGATGTGGAGAAGATCTTGGAGAGGTTGTCTCCAAATCGTCAAACTCTTATGTTCTCAGCAACAATGCCATCTTGGATAATGAGTATTACCCGCAATTATCTAAACAACCCCCTAACCATTGATCTTGTAAGTATACGTATCTGTTTTTAGGCATCAGGAGAAGGATTGTTATGGTTTTCAAATGTCATTTCCTTTGGAATTATGCCCAGTCCAATATGACATAGGGTAAAGAAAGTTCTTTGGAGAAATTGGAAGATACCAATCAAAAGCTTACGATTTGGGCTCCAAAAAACAATACATTTTAATAAATGAAATCTTCTAATGATTGAAATTAGGGATTCAACAGTCACTAAACTTAAATTAATGAAATCTTCTTATAGAGAACTCAGATTGCAGTGATTCCAAATGGAGGTAAAAGTTTAGTGCGTGCAGAAGACTCCCATAAAAAGAGCTAAAACTTTTGGTGTCTGATTGTAATGAAATACAAACGAAGATGATGCTAAGAGAGTAGCTCAAGTATTTAGATGAATAAGTTCACACCACCCTAAGGATAGAGGGCCACTGGTACCTTTTAAATATAATAGTCTCAGATTTTTCGGAAAATTGTAACAATCAATTCATTGGTGAACCAAGGCAGTTTATATAGCATGGGAACAACCATCCTGGCAAGGTTACATAGTTTGGATATATCTAAGACATTAAATAGTAGTTTTTGACTGAAAACTGGATTTTGACTAAAGGGCATAAAAAATAATCTTATAAAATGACATGAAGGCATAAAATTACTTGGAAATTACAAACACAAATTATTCATTTTCTTCAAACTGCTTCTGAAAGTGCCACATTTGGTTGCATTTTCATGTTTTCTTGAATGCTACTGGGACAACCAGACAAGTATTTGTCCTGAACACCACAAGGTGGATTGTGTACACTCCTATGTCCTCAAAATTAAAGTGAAGAGAGTTAAGCTTGTAAAAGTTGTAGGCTAGCTGGAGTATTTTTTTCAGCATCAAATTTAATGTATATAAGATGTATATATGATGTCTATATAAATGTGATGGCAATGGCTGTGTTTTCGTCCTTGAAAAGAATACCTTTCTATATTTTTGTCAGTGTAACTATTTAGTGCGGCATGATTATTAAAATTAAACAGTGATCACATTATGTGATTCTCTAAATATGATAGTGCAAAGTAAATATGATGAATGCTATTGGTTCTTGTCTTTACATCTAGCACAAGGAACTGAACTGTGCTGATTTTTTTCTTGTTCACATTTTTCAATGATTTTGTATGGATGAATAAATATTTGAGATTAAAGTGCAGAATTCTATAGTTCATTGGTAGTAATTTAATTGGGAACTCATTGGTGCCACAGGTTGGAGATTCGGATCAGAAGTTGGCAGATGGAATTTCACTGTACTCTATTGTGTCTGATCTATACACTAAAGCAGGAATTCTGGCACCTCTGATAACTGTATGAATTCAGATACAATCTTTGCTCTATTTTTGCATCAGCTATAATTAGTGATTGCTATTGTGATATCTATTTGGTTATAAGTAGCTTATTAATATTTTATATTTTATACCAAAATGATTGCAATTGAGTCTGTTTGGTCCTTAGACAAGGCTCATAATTTTCCTTTCCTAATGGTATATACTTTGGTTAGGAACATGCGAATGGAGGAAAATGTATTGTTTTCACCCAAACCAAACGTGATGCTGATCGATTATCATATATCATGGCAAAAAGCCTTAGATGTGAGGCCTTGCATGGAGATATTTCACAAACTCAGAGGGAAAGGACTCTCGCTGGCTTCAGAAACAACAATTTTAATGTTTTAGTAGCAACTGATGTTGCTTCACGAGGGCTTGATATTCCAAATGTGGATCTCGTGAGTTTTGTCTTGCTAAACTTTTTATTTAAAATTGTTGTTATCATGTTCTGTTTCTTGTTTGTTGATTAAGGTTCAAGAACAACTCTTAATTTCTACATGGTGGTTCCTCCCGTGTTATTACTGTTCTTGATATGTTTGAGATATTTGATACTCTATAATTGGATGCTGTGTTTTTGAAAGAATTTTTGTGTGGGTGGGGGGGCTGGGGTTGGTGGGAGAACTTGAATATGTTTAGGATATTTTATTATCTGGATTTCCCTAAATTTTGAGTGTAATAGGAAATTATGGGGTAATGTTTCCTTTCTAGATGCTTATCTTCAATTCTTAACTATTATCTGACTTTGCTGTATTGCTTTCTCTTTTTCACTACATCTGCTTTTTTGAATCTTGTTCACTCTTATCTTTTGTGCCTTCATGTAATATATTCTGTGTATATGCAAACACATTGACATACACTGTTATTCAATTTGTTTGAAAGTAAATCTTTTACTTGTTTTCGTGACATAGGTAATACATTATGATCTTCCCAATTCATCAGAGATATTTGTTCATCGATCTGGACGAACAGGCCGTGCTGGGAAGAAAGGAGCTGCTATTCTTGTTTACTCAGAAGATCAATTCAGGGCTGTGAAGACTATTGAGCGTGATGTTGGATGCAAATTTACAGAGGTGATTTTTGCTTCCTATTCATTTGCATCCTTCTATCTTTCTTATTTGAAGTTGTCCTTATTATTCTAGTCTGTTACTACAAAATGATGGTTAGCATATTCTCTGTCCATAAATCCAGTCCAGCTCACCCCTATGGGAAAACTGAATGTGCTACCTCCCAATGTTAGGGAACTTTGTTGTTGTGGTGAATATCCCTATTTTGTTACTAGACTGACTGAATCACAGAAGAAAGTCTTTAATAGTTTAATATGCTAAGGTTTTTCACTACCACTGGGTGCTAAGTACTGATAAAACTCAAGTTGCTGAAAATCTTAACCAAGTCTTGTCTCTTCTATATCTATGTTCTAATCATTAATCTTGGTAGTTCGTGCATGATGAGTTCAGAGTGTGATAATGTATGTACATCTGAATCCATGTTCAATGGTCTACTGTCTAGGGTCTACTTTGCCTGATACTTGTAACATCAAGCAGGGAGGGATGTAGCTGCAAATTCTGACGTAAAAACCTCAAAATTATATAATGATATTATTATGGTGTTTGGAACAGACATTTAGTTTTGGTAAAGGACTAGGATATGATATTATTGCAATGCAGACTGCACTCACATGATTCTATGATTACTGAAATGCAGATTGCAAATTTCATTATCACAAAATTGTATGAATTTAATGCTTAATTACATGAGGTATACATCTGCTGTTCTATGGTTAAGTAGTATTTAATATTGAAATAAAAGTAAAAGCTTGTTTCAAACCTGTTAATTATAGGTTGTTCTTGAATCGTTAACTTAAAGTGTAAAAGGTCAACAGAAAGTATTTGTTGTAAGATGTTAAAAAGTTAAAACTTAAAGTTCTAAACTGAGTTCATGGGGAATGATCTGTGATAATGGCTGAAGTTCTTTATGCACATCTTTGAGGGCTTTACCCAACATATTTTCAATAACTTCTAATGGAGCAGGAGTTTATATTGTGAATTCTCATTTTAATCAAATTGGATTAACAGAAAATTGAGTCTTTATCAAACTGATAATGCTTAGAAATTTTGATCTTTGAAGTTGGCTGTGGTTTTACAATTCTTCATGTGCCCATATATCTGAAAGTTCAAATCTTTCTGCTATAAGTATTTTTTTTCATACCTTGAGTTTCTTACTTTTCTTTTAGCCTATCTATGCTTATATTCTAGGTCACTCTTATTTTGTTTAATGACTAACTGCTTGCATCTTATTCCAATATTCGTGTTTTTCAGCTACCAAAGATTGATGTTCCAAGTGGATCAGCAGAGATGTTTGGTGGGATGGGTGGTGGCAATTTTGGCCCTTTTGGAGGTATGAGGGATCGTCAATCTAGAGGTTCAGGTTTTGGTCGCAGTCCTGGATTTAGCCGTTCTGGGAGTTACAGTAACTCTGGATTTGGTCGATCTAACTATGGAAATTCCAGTGGGATGGGAAGGTTTGGAGGACCAAATTCTAGCCATTTTGGCGGCCCTGGTTCAGGTCAGTTAGGAGGATCTTCTGGTAATTCATCTGGTGAAATGGGTAGATATGATGGCTTCGGTTCAGGTCAAGCAGCAACTCAATTTGGAGGAAATTCTTTCCCAGATGGTTTTGGAGGATTTGGTGGTTCAGGTCAAGCAGGAGCTCAATCTGGTGGAAATTCTCATCCAGGTGGTTTTAGAGGATTTGGTAGTTCAGATCGATATAGCAGTTTTGGAGATTTTGGGCAAGGTCAATCTGGTGCATTTGGTGACAGAAAGTCTAGCCAAAGCAGCAGCTTTGGTGATTCACGTGGTAGTGGTTTCGGTGCTTTTGGTAATGACAATTATAATGGAGGAAAGTCGTTTTAATTTCATCAACTTGGTAAGTGCAGCATATTCATTTCTTAATTGTTTAATTTTGGCCTCTTGCACTGTATAGTTTAATGTCTTTATCTAAATTTTCAGGCATCCTGCCAATTCCCCGTATCTCTTGAGATGGAAAAGGTTATGGCATAAGAATAATATTAATACCATTCTATTCTTTGAAGCATCACTCTTTTTTCTTTCCTCCTGGCACAATCTTCAGCTCAAACTCAACTCTAGTGTTATTTACTGCCTCCATGGCAAAATGAAGGGGGAAGGCTGTATCATCTGCATGTTCCACTTCTGCCAATCATTTTTCTTGAGAATTTTGTAGCAGCAGCTTTATAGGGCAGGGGGGGTCCCATTTTTTTAATATTTTTTCCTCCAAATTTATAATGGGGTAGAAATTTTAGAAACAGGTAGGTGAACTGCTGTTCATATATATATTTTTACAGTGTCGCATATTATCATACATGGAAGTTTTCATTTTTCAACTGATGCAATATTAATATATCAAGAATTTGTTTTTGGTTGCACCGTGGGTAACTTTTGTTTTGGGGGATGAATGAAATATTAAACAGCATCTTATTTGATTAAAGAGCATTAGGCCCAAAAATTGCTGAACTGCATTGAATCGTAAAGAACTCTAAATAGTCGGTTGAAGTTGATGGTCAACAATAACTTGATGCTAATTATTTTTTACTTTTGTCCATTTGCTATTGAATTGTTCCAAAAGTTTGGGGGAACCCAAATCGCTGCCTCTTCTGTTAATGATAAAAACTTAGGTCATGATAGACTTTCTTTTAGTTGAGAATTTGTCAAATTGGAAAGTTGATCAGGTAACTAAAAGATGTTTTTTTTTTTTTACCTTTCGCGTAAATATTCACTCAATACTAAACTAATAAATTACATAATTTCGTCTGATGATTTTTAACTTCCAAATATTTTAATTTTCTTTTGCTTGTAAATATTTTATTATGGCTTTTTATTATTCTCTAGGGTAAGTTAATATACTTAAGCTTGTTATTTTGGACAGTTGACTTTCGGTAATCATTTTATAATAGCTGTATAGAGGTGTTAAAAGAGATTATTATTCTTTTAATTTTTACAATTTTATGCGTATAAATGACTTATATCTTGATATGTGCATATTGTCCTCCTTTTAAAATAACATTTTATAATTGATTGTGACTCTTCATAATTAAGTTCACAAATTTGATTGTCTCATGGTGTAATCTCGGACGTGTATTTGACAATTCCTCCAAGACTAAGGTGGTAGAGTGATATAAAATTGTGTGACATGCGTGGTTCATTTACCTATCTTTTTTAATGTATTTCTTATCATTTATTTTATTGTTGTACATTCTTGCACCTCATGTATGTATGCTTTGTTTTGCAAGTTGATATGTAGTTCGTAGAATGTCGTATTGGATTATTATGCTTCATTTTCGTTGTACTCACCAAGCCAGGCGTCAGGACCTTATGATTTATGATAATCTGGAACTTATTTGTGGGTTTTTACTGACGTTGGAAACATTGAACTATTAAAGTCAACTTAAAGCTCATCCAAATAAGCAGAAATACTAGTATAGATAGATTTAGGTATACAAGCTCATCCAAATTGAGGCCGACGATGTACAACAGTTTTAGATATCCAATCTTAGTAGATGTTAAAATTTTAAAGTAGATTTCTTTTTGAACACTTAGAATTTTTTAAGAATCGGAAGAAAAAACCCATTGATGATTTTACCAGTTTACCTGCCTATAAAAGTCCCTAGAAAACATAAATTCGAAATCTCAAGCCACATGGCCACTTTTTCTACTTCTTCTTCAGGTAATCTAAATCTATATCCCCTACAACCACAACCATAAGCCGTAACTATCTCAAGTTGTGGCAATATATGGATAGTACTTGGTAGCTGGTTCAGCCTTTGGCAATCCCTCAAGAACAATTGTCGAAGCCCAACAAAATTTCCAATCGAAAATGGCAGTTCATCTATATTAGTATGATCCAGGTAAACCTCTCTTATATTCTCCATCATTCTCAACACTTCTGGGAATCTCCTAAGACGTGAGCAATCCCTCAGATCTAGAGTCTCTAGAGATGTCAGGTAGATGCATGGTACCAAAATTTCTAGCTGGGTGCATCCTTGAGCACTCAATAACTTAAGTTTATCAAGAAATCCAACTGAACTATGAATTCTAATTAAATCAGTGCAGTTATTAAGAGATACTGCCGTCAAATTTGGTATTCCAGATAAGCTAGGCAGTTCAGTTAAGAACTTGCAGCCTTCAAAATCTAGTGAGCTCAATGACTCAAACACCTACAAAACAAAAGCCAATGCCTCAGATTACGAGTTTTCAATAGGACATACATTTTGGTGTATATGGCCAACAAAATTTACTATTACAAGTTTTTTGAAAAAATACTTGCCTTGAGTGATTTGAATGACTTAAGGCAACTTTCAGGCAGGCTGAGTATAACAAGATTCTTGGGATTAAAGTTAGATGGTAATGATGGTGATGGATATCCACTCCAGTATAGCACTCTCAGACTATTAGGCAGATTTTTAGGGCCTCTAGTAAAGTGTGTATTGATGATTTACCTATTCCACCGGTGCCGTAAATGCCCACCATGCTTACTCCTTCTTCAGAGCCTTGTCCAAGGAGAGATGTCACTTGCAGCACTAGAGACTCAAGGCCAACTAAACAATTCTTACCCATGTTGGAAATGCCAATGGAAATTGCCAATTTTGTTAACCTCCAAAGCCAATGGAAGACCATGAGTATAGGCAATTGCCCGTTTTGAAACATGTGCATAACCTGGATCAATTTTATTACTTCTGAAGGCATGCAAACTAAACAATTCTTACCCATGTTGGAAATGCCAGGCAGCCATATTAGCAGCTCGAGACAAAGCCTCTCTCCATTTCATGACCTTGTCATCATTCTCATGGTTTTCCAAAGCTTCTGCATAACTCCCACTTTGGGTCCTAACCTGCGACGGATCCACTCCATAGAACACCGGCCAAAACAAGCGTCCTCCCCGTTCCTCCAAGCACTCCATGATGGTAACAAGCTCGTTCAAACAGTGCGTTGAGGAGGCATAGTTCAGAGAAGACAGCAATGAAGATCCTTGACTCTCTCATGGCTTGCCCAAGAGCTGGCATGATGTCTTCTCCTCTGTTGAGTCCTTCGTCTATCAAGGTTTGGATACCCTTTTGGCAGAGAGAGTTGTAGAGATTACCAGTGAAGCTCTTGCCCTCTGAAGCTCAGGAACACGTCGTATGATGATTCTGAGTGCTCGTCTATATATGTGTCGGGTACGATAAGGACAAAGTGAAATATTCTGCGGTTGGAAATTTATTTATGAAAAATGTTAAATCCATGTATATTCCGAAACATTCTCTGACTAATTAAAACGTTTTTTTTATAATTAAATTTACATTTTATAGTTAAAAGAATAACAAGTGTCAAGTGCAAAATAATTCAGAAGAATTTTTTATTAAAATTCGAAGGATCTATCATTACTCTAATTTATTATTTATCCATTTACGTAGTCAACTAATCATAACAATAAATGGGAAGAATTTTCGGAGAATGTATCCATTAACGTAGTCAACTAATCGTAACAATTGGAATTGGATGAAGACGTTTATTCTGCTAATCAAAATTAAAATACACATCCCAAATTTGAATGTGTGTAAACGCACCATGTTCACAATGAATTTTATTAATAATTCTTTAACTTTTAAATATTTATAATAAATTTATCTGAAAAAATTAAGAAATTTGCTTCCACGCTTCCACCACGTGATATATTTATAAATAATTTATCATTAATTTATCATATTTATAAAGTTTTATATATTTAATTTAATTAAAATTAAAATTAAAATTAATTATAATGATATATTTATAAATAATTTAGTAAAATGACATTTTCTTAATTAAAAATATTTTAATTATTAAACTTATAAATTTAAACTTTTTTTTATTTTTTCTGCGGATTAATATTGGCAAAAAAATCTACCGGGAAAGTTACATGCAAAATTTTTCTATCATTTAGTAAACATTACTTGCGAATTTATTTTTACAAGAAAATCTACAAGAAACAAAATAAAATTCTTACAACATTTTCTACAAATTTTTACCAAGGATAAAAATTGGCTAAAACCCTAATTTGATCTCTTATAATATTAAAAAATTTTAGTTTGGTCCCATTTTAATTTTTAGTTTCAATTTAGTCCCAAGTTATTCTAATTAAAATATTAGACTTCCGTCCAAATTTCACAAACGGTATTAAAAGTTTATAAGAATTACCCCCGTGATTCCATATCACGATCGTGATTCTCACGCCCGTGATTCCATATCACGATCGTGATTCTCACGCCTGGTGTTAAATATTGGTGAGAGAGGGCTTTCTTCGTTCTTGTTTTCTAGAAGGCCAATTTGCTCACCATTTACACACATATACCCTATCCTTATCTCCGATCACCACCAACGTTGGAAATCGTCGCACGTTCACGTCCACCTTGTCGCACTCCCTCCACTCAGTTATCATCGCTCTTCATCAACCACAACACCTTCATCGGTGAAACCGTCGTCGCCATGCTGTCCTTCCTCACCGCGATGTCGTTCGCACCCACCATATCCTCGTTTAGCAACACCTTCATCGTTGTGTCATCCACCACGTCCTCGACTGCACCACCATGAGGTATCCCTTGCTCACGTAGGTGATTTCGTTCAACCCTACGAAACTGTAAGGTGCGTTGCCGTCGGAAGGATTCTTTGTCGTCTCCGTGTACATCGGAGATCGGCAGAAGATCGACGCGGATCCGTTGACGAATACCTTCCAAATGAAGTTTCTGCCGAAGTTTGTCAAGAAGGTGTTGCCATGGTGGTCCACAGCGACGTCGTTCACTGCGTCGACGCCTTCGGAGGGGAGCGAGGAGAGGAAGTGGCGGCGGCAGGAGCGAAGGTGGTGACTGGAGTGGGGGCGTTCATGGAAAGAATAGTATAGTACATTTTGATTGGTTCCCAAGCGTGAGAATCACGGTTGTGATTTGAAATCACGGACGTGATTTTCACGGATCTTTAACATCGTTTGTGAAATTTGGATAGAAGTCTCACATTGAAGTATTTTAAAGTAAATTAGGACTAAATTAAAATTTTTTTTAATATTATAAGGGACCAAATTAGGGTTTTAGCCAAAAAAAATTTCTATGATCATTAAAATTGTAAAAAGTTTACAAAAATTTATTGTAGATTATTTTTCATAAAAAAAATTTATAAGAAATATTTTTAATTATTTTTCGCAAATAAATTTGTAAACAAATTTTGTGAAATTATTATTGCAAGAAAATTCATAAAAAAAATTTACAAATATTTATTTTATGAAAATTCGTAAAAAAAGATATTTTTCTAGTAATGTATATATTAATATAATATCAGGGTAACTTTTGTTTAAAAAATATTGAAATTTGGAATGCGTGTTTTAAATCAATTTTTATCGAGAGTATGTAAAATCCAAACCCGTGTGTGTAGGGTCAACCTAAATTTATTAAAAATTTCGGCATCATATTATTTGTTCTTGCGTCATCAACTCTTTGTCCAAAGTAGCATTAGCAATTAACCATATGGAATATCTAAACAAAAAAAATACAGAGATATTGAAGGTTATGGTGAAAATTCTGTATGTTTAGTAAAAGTAGTTTGTAACTTATCTGAAAGTTTATAAATTAGTGAAAACTTATAAATTATTTAAGAGCTGAAAAATTTAAACTTTATGAAAGGGTTGACTGAATGAAAAGTGTTTTGTAAGATATATTACACTTTAGACTTTTAACAATATATATTACACTTTAGACTTTTAAAATTGGTTAAAAAAATTTAACAATTATAACAATGCTATAGATTTAGAAAATGTAAAGTGTAAAATCTTTTTAAATCGATTATTGAACCAAATTTTTTTGTTTTAGATAGATTACTAATAGAATTGATCTAAAAAGTTTTATTTATTTGTTCTTGAATAACCCAATGTATAAAATAATCTTTTTTTTTAGATGTGAAACCAGTTGCAAATCTTCCTCTGAAAGTAAAATGGGACAAATTAATGCGATGTAATTAAAGAGTATAAAAACTTTAGATGAATGTGATGGACGTCCATTAAGTTGAAATGTTGTTGTACTTGGTATGGTTTACTTTGAATTAACCAAGTTGTATTAATTGTTGAATACATAATAAGAAATTTATTTCGTGTTATGTATATGAACTCCTAACCATCTAAAAAACGATCTTCTCCCAATGATGAATCGATCATGATTAACTATAATTATACCATATTCCTCTTTTTGTCTTTCTCTTAATGAATATGATATGATATGTTTAATTTTACTAGCAAGTCGAGTGATTCATGTGATTAAGGGTGAGGATTAAAGGTGTTGATATAAGATACTGAATTATATGTCTTCGTTTATTGTTGCATGAGTTGTAGTGATGAATGCCAATGATTTTCGTCTAATATATGCAGTACGTACATATGATGTTGTGACATCTTTTTTAGTTGTTTCTACGTGTCCTTTATTTTTTTTTTTGTCGAGTGGTTAGTAAGAAAATAAAAAGTTAATTAACAATCATATCATATATGATAATATATAATTAAATAATAATTAAAAATATTTTTTTATTGTAAATACACTTTAATTAATTCTTATATTTTACTGCTTTTGAAGGCACTATTTTCGTATTTTGGTAGAGGATAGGGTGGGAGAGTTGGATATATCTTGGCCTTGAGAAAGTAAAAAATGATCATTAATTAAATGTGTGTACTTTCAAATCAATGGTTTACATTTTTTCCTTTTTTCCCCTCGAATTTTTACTTAATGACATCTTTTCTCTAACCAAGTCTGCCCTCCTTCTTATGCATTGCTGCCACTTTCTTATATTGAGAAAAAGAAAAATAAAATTTGAACAAGAAATTTAAAACTAAGCCTGATGATTTTTGAACACTAAAATAAATGGAACGCCTCATTGACGTACTCCTAATTTATATATATTTCTTTTTTTTTTTCACACGTAATATCAATTATATAACTTTTTTTCCTTCTTATCTCTCAAGATGTAAACACTTCTTATACGTCTATTTTTCTTTTATTCTTTTATAAAATTAAGGACTTTCCCTTTCTTACACATACTTCCACCCTTTCTCTAGGCTAAATTCGATTTGAGTTGAAAATCTAAAATAGAGGGGTCTTCATTATAACAATTCCATCTGATTAACTTGATTGAACAACAAAAATCAACAACAAAAATCCCTAGAATAGACTTAAATATGCTTTGATATAATTTTAAGAAAGTGATTTAGGAGCCTAATTAACTCAACCTTACCAATTTAACTTGTAAGATAAGAATTATTCTCCACTTATATATATTATTATAATTTTATCTTTAATTGATGTGGAATCTCTAACATAGTTAACACTTAATAATTAACATTTCTCCACTCGTTGGCACCTTGCCCTAACATAAGTAAACCCTCATCCTTGCAGTTTCATAAGAGAGCAAACCATCGCACAATGTGGCAAAATAGTAAACCCTTGCATGGCATCACACAACACAAGGCCACACTCGAAGGCCAAAGTCCTCTAATCATTATCGACCCATTGTGCTCTCATTACCGTCAGGGGTTGCATTGTACCACTCACTACATGCCACACTTACTCTTCACAGTCACACTCACTCACCTTGATCTATAGTTGGTTTAATCTTTAGTATGCGTTCTAATATATGGGCATATCTTCTTAACCTAGTACAAGTTACTCATAGCTTATGTTGCTCTTTGTAGAAGCTTAAGCTCATTCTTGTTGTAAAAATCCTAACTTATTCTAAGCAAAAAAAAAAAAAAAAAACTACCAATTTTGAAGGATAAATAATTTGTTTATTTATTTGTTTTTATGATTGGATATTTATGATATCGTGTTGGGTTTGGATTAGACAACAAAAATTATGAAATTCAAACTAATTTGAATCAATTAAATTTAATTGGTTTAGATTTTATTTTCAACC